CCCACAGACCCACGCCACTATATGTTTACTGTTGTATATATATAAATGATGCCATTACCGTGTTGTTATAGTTCTAATCTTGAATCATTTGCCTCGTTGAAACCACACTTCCCCCACTCTCTCCTTTTTCTTCTTCCTAATCTCCTTTGCTTTAATTCAATAATATTTGATCTGTCATAATTCACAACATGTCAGGCCACGAGGCACCTCTGAACAATGGAGTAGCACACAAGACAGATGAGGTACTTCCGTTTGTGGAGGATGACTACGGAGGATTGATCGTGGAGATGAATACTCCTATGGATTCCACGTGTTTCGTTGCATCGCTTAGATATTCGTTGGCCGAGTGGCGCTTACAGGTTTGTGCTGGTGCAATCGGTCATGTCTCTTTTTTTCTAGAGTGAGTGGTTGATACTGTAAAACTGATATATATATTTCAGGGTAAAAAGGGAATCTGGTTAAATTTGCCTCTCTCACACGTAAACCTCGTGGAACCCGCGGTTAAGGTGATGCTGTTTTTTGTTCACGGACGATATTCATTATCAATTAGTTTTGAGATGGAATTTATGAACTTTGACAAAACTGTAAAATGTTTGATAATTATTTCTTTAGGAAGGTTTCCGGTACCACCATGCTGAGCCAACTTACCTGATGCTAGTTTACTGGATTCCGGAAGCTGCGTGTACTATCCCTTTGAATGCTTCTCATCGTGTTCGTGTTGGTGCTGTTGTCTTGAACCAAAACGAAGAGGTACGTACTTATTTAAGTTGTTCCACAACACAAAATCTTTTTTGTTGTTACTTTCAGTTGAAAATCTTCTCCATGTCATTAATCGCATCTTGACATGAAATTGAGGGGACAGATTCTTGTTGTTCAAGAAAAGTACGGTACTCTATGCGGATCAGGTATCTGGAAGATCCCAACAGGAGTTGTTGACGAGGTGCGTTTTCATCATCTGTATCAACAAGTTTTCAATTGTATATATATATGCTTGTTCAAGACTAACCCTCCTGCTCGTTTGCTTTTAGGGCGAGGAGATTTTTGCCGCGGCCATTAGAGAAGTAAAAGAAGAAACAGGCGTAGGGAAATCTC